ATATATATGTGTGAGGGTGTGTGTGTGTGTGTGTGTGTGTGTCTGTGTGTGTGTGTGTGTGTGTGAAATATATATGAGAAATATGCCATAAATATAAAGTTGATCATCCAACAAATGGGTCCTATTATTCAACACTTTATTATAAATTTGCCATCCTGCTACTGCCAACGTTTGTTTATTTATGTATTATTAAAACATTATAACCTATTTTAGATGTTCATTTAATGTAAAACTGCAACAACAAAAAAACACAAAACAGGGTATAAACTGCATTTAGACAGGTCCCAAATTTTAACAGGGTTGCAAAAGTTATGAACACCAAAGAAAAAGAACTGAAAATAGAAAAGTTTAAATAATATTCAGTTGACAACAGTGAGGCTGACAATTTTCCTTTCGCAATTTGTTAAAATAAAAATAAGTGTAAAATAACAAATATGTACCTTTTTACGAGTTTAGGCCCCATTTGCACCCTATTAATGGAACGTGCCATTACTTTATAACATTATTTCTAAAAGAAACAAAGACCATAAAGAAAGATGCAGTAGGCTAATGAAAGCCTTGTTCCCGTTGTCTTTTGTGGGGTATCCTATGACTGTAAACGGCCGTTTTTGTCTTCATGCCATGACAGCAGGTCCATCTAGTTCTCAAATGAAAATCAATAAATACCCAAATCAAATATTTACATTTCGGAAATGCGCCATAATGAGCAAATATTGAGGATGATGCCTGAGAATGACGGGAACACCTGCTGGTGACCGAGCAAGATTTCAATTAAACATAGACTTTCATGACGGGCCGTTTATCGACACGACGCACAATGAAAGCTGAATTTTAAACGGCGTTCGGATTAAACGGACGTGTTGTGTGATATTTCAAAGAAACTCATCCTTTGTGATCCCTGCCATGTCGCCGTGAAAATCCGCATCATCATTGGTTGCCATGGGAGAAGCACTACTGGATGCTCCTCATTGACTCAAATACTGCGCATTCTCCTCAGCAAAAGCGCCTCGCCACAAGCACGGAGAGAATAACGCTGCATTCAAGATAACGAAACGTGAAACTCACCGATTCCAGTGATGAATCCTCGACCTGTCCAGTTTCATGGGACTGGTGTACGTTTAGTGTGTTGTTTGTCGGCGCGCACCGCAGCTTCTCTTCTCTTCTCTTTCTCCTGCTGCTGTCAAACTCGCAACGCCGTCGCGCGCACGCTCAGTGCAGGCGCAGCTGCAGCGACGCGACACTAATCAGGAGACACACACAAACACATAAACAGCACTTCTGGACTCTTGTCATACAGACACAAACACACAAACAGCACTACTGTACTCTTATCATACAGACACAAACACATAAACAGCACTTCTGGACTCTTGTCATACAGACACAAACACACAAACAGCATTACTGGACTCTTGTCATACAGACACAAACACACAAACAGCATTACTGGACTCTTGTCATACAGACACAAACACACAAACAGCATTACTGGACTCTTGTCATACAGACACAAACACACAAACAGCATTACTGGACTCTTGTCATACAGACACAAACACACAAACAGCATTACTGGACTCTTGTCATACAGACACAAACACACAAACAGCATTACTGGACTCTTGTCATACAGACACAAACACACAAACAGCATTACTGGACTCTTGTCATACAGACACAAACACACAAACAGCATTACTGGACTCTTGTCATACAGACACAAACACACAAACAGCATTACTGGACTCTTGTCATACAGACACAAACACACAAACAGCATTACTGGACTCTTGTCATACAGACACAAACACACAAACAGCATTACTGGACTCTTGTCATACAGACACAAACACACAAACAGCATTACTGGACTCTTGTCATACAGACACAAACACACAAACAGCATTACTGGACTCTTGTCATACAGACACAAACACACAAACAGCATTACTGGACTCTTGTCATACAGACACAAACACACAAACAGCATTACTGGACTCTTGTCATACAGACACAAACACACAAACAGCATTACTGGACTCTTGTCATACAGACACAAACACACAAACAGCATTACTGGACTCTTGTCATACAGACACAAACACACAAACAGCATTACTGGACTCTTGTCATACAGACACAAACACACAAACAGCATTACTGGACTCTTGTCATACAGACACAAACACACAAACAGCATTACTGGACTCTTGTCATACAGACACAAACACACAAACAGCATTACTGGACTCTTGTCATACAGACACAAACACACAAACAGCATTACTGGACTCTTGTCATACAGACACAAACACACAAACAGCATTACTGGACTCTTGTCATACAGACACAAACACACAAACAGCATTACTGGACTCTTGTCATACAGACACAAACACACAAACAGCATTACTGGACTCTTGTCATACAGACACAAACACACAAACAGCATTACTGGACTCTTGTCATACAGACACAAACACACAAACAGCATTACTGGACTCTTGTCATACAGACACAAACACACAAACAGCATTACTGGACTCTTGTCATACAGACACAAACACACAAACAGCATTACTGGACTCTTGTCATACAGACACAAACACACAAACAGCATTACTGGACTCTTGTCATACAGACACAAACACACAAACAGCATTACTGGACTCTTGTCATACAGACACAAACACACAAACAGCATTACTGGACTCTTGTCATACAGACACAAACACACAAACAGCATTACTGGACTCTTGTCATACAGACACAAACACACAAACAGCATTACTGGACTCTTGTCATACAGACACAAACACACAAACAGCATTACTGGACTCTTGTCATACAGACACAAACACACAAACAGCATTACTGGACTCTTGTCATACAGACACAAACACACAAACAGCATTACTGGACTCTTGTCATACAGACACAAACACACAAACAGCATTACTGGACTCTTGTCATACAGACACAAACACACAAACAGCATTACTGGACTCTTGTCATACAGACACAAACAGCAATACTGGACTCTTGTCATACAGACACAAACAGCAATACTGGACTCATGTCATACAGACACAAACACACAAACAGCACTACTGGACTCTTGTCATACAGACACAAACACACAAACAGCACTACTGGACTCTTGTCATACAGACACAAACAGCAATACTGGACTCTTGTCATACAGACACAAACACACAAACAGCACTACTGGACTCTTATCATACAGACACAAACAGCAATACTGGACTCTTGTCATACAGACACAAACACACAAACAGCACTACTGGACTCTTGTCATACAGACACAAACACACAAACAGCACTACTGGACTCTTGTCATACAGACACAAACACACAAACAGCACTACTGGACTCTTGTCATACAGACACAAACACACAAACAGCACTACTGGACTCTTGTCATACAAATAACACGTTTTGTATACTTCCGACGTAAAAAGAATTATGGTTCAAAAGTTGTTTTTGTTCAATTTACTTGTTTTTGAAAGAAAGGCGTATTTTTATTTAAATGATGGATTTGAGGCTCCTCAAACTTAAAGGGATAGTTTACCCCAAAATGAAAATTTTCCTGTAGGCTATGGTTTCTTTCTTCTATTCGACACAAAAGATGTTTTGAAGAAAGATAGAAACGAAACTGGTAGCCATCGACTTCCATTGTATTTTCATTTTGGGTGAACATGCCTTTTAAATTCACCCATTCATAATTTGTGACCCTGGACTCAGGGGCGGTTCTAGGGGGTTGCCCCCCTTTGGTCCCCCTAAATTTGGAATCATATCACACCAAACAATTTTGGGTGAAATGCTCAGTTTGTCCTGTAAACTATATATATATAAAAAAGAAAAACGTCACCAGCTGCTAAATTCAAATCTGCGTTCGCTGGCTGGCACAGAGCCAGAGACACACGCGTTTTTTAAAACACTGCGCATTATAACCAATCATATACGATTCTGTTGAGTTTATGAATGCAAGGACCAATCAGAGGCGTTCAGAAGAGTCACCGCTGAAACACGCTGTTTCGTCTCCGCGCGCGCTCGCTGACTGAATTCTCTGGCTAATTAATCAGAAACAACAACGTGAAGATGTACGAGTGTAAGTAAGATATTAATTTCACAGTGTAAACAGCTTGAGAGATTATTATGGGAGTTTTTGAGAGTGCTTGAACTGGCTTGACTGAAGTGAAAATGTTCTTTGATAATGTAAAGTTTCTTTCCTAATATCCTCATGATTTTGGCATACTCGTGCTACTTAAGACTGGGTTTGTGGTCCAGGGTCACATTTGTTTTTACTAATTATTTATCAACAATTTTAACTGTGCTTACAATAAAAAATATAATAATAATTAAATATAAAAACCAACAGTTTCCATAATATTCAATAATATAATTTAAAACATAAAATACAATATATTTAATTTGATAAATATCTAATAAAAATTCTATACTTTAATAAAAATATAAAATAATATATTCTGTGTATACATAATGTGATGATTACATGAAGAGTTCATTTGCAAAAACAGATAACTCCGTTTTAAACAATTAGTTTTTTCATTGTGCATTCCAATTAATCTCAATCAAGCTGCAGTTGGGTTATTTTGATTAGGTTAAAAAATAACTAAAAAATACAGCTAACTAGCACAATAAAAGACAATAAAAACATGGTAACATCATAAAAAGTTATCTGTTTTTGCAAATAAACTCTTCACATATTATTACACACACATTAGAATGGCAAATGAGCGCATCAGAATGATTAAAGGATTTTGTAACAGTGTTTTCTTTGTAAATTCTGCTCAAATTGGGGTTTGACATCACAGGTAAAAAAAAAAAAAAAAACTTTAAAATGCATAAAAAAATCAAACGGCAATGTACTACTTGATCAATTAAATGTTACATTGGTAAACAGAAGCATCATTAAAAAAAAACAGTGTAAACTTTTAAATGGATACAATATCAGTAACACACACAAACAAAATGAGTTCATGTCATTATAAGCATATCATTAAAAGTAGTCATGGAAGAAAACCAATCCAACTTAAATCTACAATTTCCATTCTACACAATTATCTAAATTACTTTGCCAAAGCCATATTTAGGCATGTGTTTGTGCAGGTGGGTAGCGTTGCTTTGTGATTTTTTTTCCCTCAGTGTAGGACATCTGATTTATGGTGGTGGTTTGGCAGTGCAAGTGAAAATGAGCATGTTAGTCTTCCCACTGACAGCGTCATGTCTGATACCCAGCCACGTCTTCTCAAATTGTGAATAGATGTTTCCACTTACTGTGCATGAAACCGTGATTGTTCTCAAAGAGTCCTGAATGTCATGGGACATCTGTACTATCAGGGAAATATAAGGACTACAAGGCACAACAGATGGAAAAAAAACATTAAAAAGAGTAGCATGTAGTGAGAGTGAAAATAAAAGACATGGAAACTAAAGTCTAACCAGTTTCAAAACTTTCAAGAGTATTTTTAAACAAGAAAGTCTGCACTGATAGGCTACTTCAAGTGTACTCTCAATACAATTGTAGCTCACATCTCTCTGAGCAAATGCAGACTGGCTTTGTTTATAAGTCCCACTTCCTAAATTGGTTTGCAGGCAGCTTTGGAGACATATATCATTCAGAAATAATCCATACAGTATGTATACCAGAGCCAACCGGTAGGCTGGTTGTTTGTTTATATGTTCTTTTTCCAGTGGGGGAAGTTTTCTGGGGTGCGAGTATGTTAACCAAACAAATAAAAAATGCAGCAGGTTTCATTTTTAAATATTTACTGACAATTATGCTCTCAAATGATACCCTACCTCTTTGTATAAAAAAGTTATAAATGACTAGTGCTTGGTAGATTACTTACAAAATATAATCCATTAGATTACATGGAGAAAATTGAAGCCAGTAACATAATTTAGGTTACTCATTTTAGGTAGTGTATTCTGACTACTTTTTAGATTACTTTTAGATTGCCTTTTTCCCCCCAATTCAGAAGCATGGATCACAAAATTATTTACATGGCCATTCTATATTGTGAATATAGTTAAAGCTAAATGGTATGACAGAGTAGGATTTTGGAAAGGAAACATTAAAAGAGAAAAAAAGAAGAATTAGGGAGAATGAATCAATAGCCTAATCCAGGGGTGCCCAAACTCGGTCCTGGAGGG